GATAAGTGTCTTCGAAGTTAAGAGTGCTGTGGCAGATGTTGGAATTAGGGAGGGGAGTATTAAGAGGATGTGTCCACTTTGGAGAGGGTAAGACTATTAGGAAATGGTTCCCATAGGAAGTGATGCTTAGGCTGAGTCTTGGCAAGTAAGCAGCTATTCATGGTGGATCAAGGGGAAGAAAGAGGCTGTCTTCAACTGCCAATTGCATCGAGACCCTTTATTATATTTTTCTGTCATATTTATCATTAAGGTAATTTAATGTTCCCATTAATGATTATTTAAAGTTTGTCTCTCTTATTATAAATGTCACAGGAATAGGACCATCATCTTATTATACTACTGCATCTCCAGTCTCATACTTTTAGTAGCTTTGTGATAAATGTCCTTGAACAAATGAATGAAAACCTTCTGGGCAGAAAGAGCATAGTCAGAGGTGCAAGAAGTGAAAAAGCCTGGCAGGTTCGAGCAAGGCACACATATTTCTATGACTGTGGTGCCTGCAGGGGAATAGACTTGAAGAAACTGTAGAGACTTTGTGAGAAACCACCTAATATGGAGAGGCGGGTCCTCTGCTCCTCCAGGAACTAATCCCCTTGAATGGCGTTTGGTGTATACCCAACTTATGCCTCAGTTGTCTTTAAAGCAAATCATATGGACTTTCAGTTTCAAAAGGTAGTAAATCTTGAGGATTTTTAAAAACCAAATATTATATTTAAAGACTTACTTGTTCTGTTATGTTGATATAAATTGATATAAACATTTATTTACTAATTCTACAAATATGAACGGAGCATCTACTACATAGCAGTCAGATACTGCAGGTGACACTGGGAATAGGGAAAAGAAAGTCGTCATGCCCTAAAGAAGCCTATTCTCTAATAGATGGGAAAATAAGTAATAAAACAATTACATGCTAAAAAATATTGCTTTCCTGAGACTGCAGTTGTGGTGTTGCTGCTTACAACACTGGCATCTCATATCAAAGCACTGGTGCAAGACCCAGATACTTTGCTTCTGATCCAGCTCCCTGCTGGTGTGCTTGGGAAGGAGCAGAGGATGGCCCAACTACTTGGACCCCTGCTCCCAATTTGGCTCTTAGCTTTGACCTGGCACAAACTTAATTGTAGGCCAGTTGGGGACTGAACCAGAGGATGGAAGATCTCTCTACCCCCCTACCCCCCAACCAAGTGTCACTCTGTCCTTCAAATAAATAAATAAATCTTTAAAAAATAAAAATATATTGCTTCCTATGTAGTCAAGATTCTAGATCCAACCACCACTTTTCAGGAAATACATAGAATGAAAAAACGTGATAGACTACATGGATTCTATCAACAAAATGTAGACTTTGGGGAAGTTTACAGATCTAGTTTCTTTAGCAAATAAACTGAGGAAAAAAAGGGATGAGAATGGAATTTATGCATTAAAAGAGATTTAGAGACATATAAAGCAATTATAGTAAATGAGATTTACTTGGATTCTTGATTTAAGCAAACACAGTGCAAAAAAAAAAAAAAAAGATAGTTATGAAACTATTATCCCCGAGAATGTGCTCTTCAGAGAACACTTTGAAGACTCCTGGTCTAAACTTCACCAATTTCCCAATACTCCTTTTGTCTTCATCCTTGACACATGTTACTGGAGCTTGAGCTCTGCATTTTTTTTCCCTTTGCACCTGTCTTGACACAATTTATGTCTGATTAGGCCCATCAGATCTTTGGTGGATCTCTGCTAGAGAAAGAGTCATTGTGTTAGCAAGTGCTATGGTTTGGATGTAGTCTGAGTGAGTCCCTCAAAGGTTCATGTGTCAGAAACCTGGTCTCCAGTGTGATGGTATGGAAATGGTAATATCTTAAGAGATGAGTCCTGGTGGGCGGCAGTTACATGAAGATCAATAGATTTCTGGCAGGAGTACCTTCTTGTCCTTATGGAAAACCATGTGAAATCAGGCTGTTATAAAGTGAGCCCACTCTAAGACCTTGGCTTCTTCTGCATAAAGCTGGTTCCCCTCTCCGCTTCTCCACCATGTACTGATTTAGCCAAGGGGACTCTCAGCAGAAACTCTTTTTAAAAAATTTTTATTTAATAAATATTAATTTCCAAAGTACAGCTTATGGATTACAATGGCTTCCTCCCCCCATAACCTCCCTCCCACCCGCAACCATCCCATCTCCCACTCCCTCTCTCATCCCATTCTTCATCAAGATTCATTTTCAATTCTCTTTATATACAGAAGATCAACTTAGTATATACTAAGTGAAGATTTCAACAGTTTGCACCCACACAGACACACAAAGTATAAAGTATTGTTTGAGTACTAGTTATACCGTTAATTCACATAGAACAATACATTAAGGACAGAGATCCTACATGGGGAGTAAGTGCACAGTGATCTGCTGTGATTTACAATTGGCACTCTTATTTATGGTGTCAGTAATCACCCGAGGCTTTTGTCATGAGCTGTCAAGGCTATGAAAGCCTCTTGAATTCGCCAACTCCGATCTTATTTAGACAAGGCCATAGTCAAAGTGGAGGTTCAATCCTCCCTTCAGAGACAGGTACCTCCTTTGATGGCCCCTTCTTTCCGCTGGGATCTCACTCACAGAGATCTTTCATTTATGTCACTTTTTTTTTTTTTTTTTTTTTTTTTTTTTTGCCACAGTGTCTTGGCTTTCCATGCCTGAAATACTCTCATGGGCTTTTTAGCTGGATCTGAATGCCTTAAGGGCTGATTCTGAGGCCAGAGTGTTGTTTAGGACAAAGCAGAAGCTCCTTAGATGGGGCTGTGTGAGCTTGGGCTCTAAACGGATGAGGGAAACAAATCTCTTTTCTTTATAAATTGCCCAGCCTCAATTATTTTGTTATAGTAAAAGAAAATAGGCTAACACAGCAAGGGAGCATTCAAGAGTCAGTATGTGGCTATGGTTAAGACCTGCCTTTTGGAGGCAGAGTGTCTGAGCTTGAATCTTAGTTTTGGCGCTTAGCAGTTCAGAGTTCAGTCCACACCCGTTTCCTTCATTTATAAACAGAGGTGTGCAAAAGGGGATTCATAATTCTTCTTTATAGGATTTCCCATAGAATACATAAATAGTGTTTCCTAGAGCAAATGTCACTCCAGCCCAGATCCAGGCAGGAATCATTTATTCCATCTTCCCATGTTAGTGGGGTTCATCCTAACCTCTAGCCTAATGAAAAAGAGAACACACAGTCTTTATTCCAGAAAGTTTCTAAAGAGTGATTGCACATTTAGATGCTTTTTTATTGGTGATGGTGTACAGAGGTGAGGAGGAGGCAAAGAACAGGAACAAGTGATCAGAGGCCACTACAAGTTGGGAACTACAAATAGTTTCAAAGTTTGTCTTTGACTTTTTTAAAAAATATTCATTTATTTATTTGAAAGACAGAGTTACAGAGAGAGTGGGGGAGAGGGAGAGAGAGGAAGAGAGAAAGATAGATAGATAGATAGATAGATATTGAGATAGAGAGAGAAAGATATCTTCCATCCATTGGTTCACTCCTCAGATGTCTGCAATGGCCAGGGCTGGGCAAGGCAGGAGCCAGGAGCTTCATCTTGGTCTCCCATATTGGTGGCAGGGGTTCAGGTACTGTTGCTTTCCCAGATGTATTGGGAGGAGATGGATTGGAAGTGGAACAGCTGGAACTCAAACTGGCACCCATTTGGAATCCAAGCAATGCAGGCAGAAGCTTAACCCACTGCACCATAGCACTGGCCCCTGCCTTTGGCTTTTAAGATTGCAAGCACATTCATGGAACCATCTTGTTGTGTTTGAACCTCAGAATAGAAAGGCCTTGGACATTGCTAATTGAACTCTGTTTGAAGCAGGGCTCCCTGTTGCTACTTGAAGCTGTCTTTCTGGAATGCAGTATAGGAAAGAATACAATCCGGGGCCTAAGAAACAGCAAGAGAACATGGAAAGAGCACAGTGGCTTCAAAGCCAAGCAGATCCATGTTTGTGTGAATTCCAGCTCTACAATTTACCAACTTAAGGACAGTAGGGTTTTTTTTTTGTTGTTGTTTATTTATTTACTTTGAAAAGTACACACACACACAGTGGGGAAAGAGAGAGAGCACTTACATTTGCTGGTTGACTCCCCAAATGTCCTCAGGAGCTAGGGCTGAGCCAAAAGAAGAGTCAGGAGCTGCATTCAGGGCTCTCACATGGGTGGTAGAGATCCAAGTATTTGAGTCATCATCCGTTGTCTCCTGGGGTACATTGGCAGGAAGCTGGATTGGATGGGAAGTAGAGGTATGACTTTTCATTGTTTGTATATCCCAATATGGGATGTGAATGTTCCAGTGGTGGCCTAACCCACTCATCACAATGCCTGCCCCTGGCAAGTTAATTTTAAGTCAATTCTCTAAGCCTTGATTTTCTCCTTTTTTATTTTAATACAAATTTTTTAAACTTTTATTTAGCAAATATAAATTTCCAAAGTACAGCTTATGGATTACAATGATCCCCCCCCCATAATTTCCCTCCCACCCACAATCCTCCCAACTCCCATTCCCTCCTCCATTCCATTTACATCAAGATTCATTTTCAATTCTCTTTATATACAGAAGATCAATTTAGTATATATTAAGTGAAGATTTCAACAGTTTGCACCCACACAGAACATAAAGTGTAAAATACTGTTTGAGTACTAGTTATAGCATTAATTCACATTGAATAACACATTAAGGACAGAGATCATACATGAGGAGTAAGTGCACAGTGACTCCTGTTGTTGACTTAACAAATTGACACTCTTGTTTATGGTGTCAGTAATCTCCCTAGGCTCCTGTCATGAGTTGCCAAGGCTATGGAAGCCTTTTGAGTTTGCTGACTTCGATCTTATTTAGACAAGGTCATAGTCAAAGTGGAGGTTCAATCCTCCCTTCAGAGAAAGGTACCTCCTTCTTTGATGGCCTGTTCTTTCTACTGGGATCTCACTCACAGAGATCTTTCATTTAGTTTTTTTTTTTTTTTTTTTGCCAGAGTGTCTTGGCTTTCCATGCCTGAAATACTCTCATGGGCTCTTCAGCCAGATCTGAATGCCTTAAGGTAAGCCTTGATTTTCACATCTACAACATGCAGGAATAATAATGCCTTTATTACAGTGCTTCTGTGAGACTCCGAGACAAGAAATGGGGAACACCCGATGCATGATCGTAACTATCAATATGGTAACAATGTCTTCCAGATAGTCCTCAGGCTCAGCTTGGAGAAGAGAAACTACTTAAGAGAAACCACTTAGAATGCCTCATGTAGCTCGTGTAGCTCCCAATATTGTGGAGTTGTACGTGCCTTGCCAAAAGATGCCTGTGCAGTTATTTAGATAAGCTGCCACCTGGTCTGACTTCAGGTTTTGCTGTCACCACACCTCTCGGCTGTGACAGGTAAACAAGGAATTTTGGTGGTTGGCACTCAGCTCCTTTCCCCAAAGACCACCTCTTTTATCAGTCTTTCCCCATCTGCTCTTCCCTGCAGCAGAGGCTTTTCAGTATAGATGTTTTTCAACTGGAACCGCAGCACATGGCTTTGTAAATGTAATTAGCGCACTCCTTGGGAAATGCAATGAGCTATGCAAAATCCAAGTACTTTGCATCTTCAGAAACATGTGTGGGATACTCATATGTGCTCCAGTACTTTCCTCCTTATTGCAAGGGGAAAAAAAGCAGATAGAGATTATGGTAATTAAAATGTGGAGTCATTTAAAAAAACAGGACTAATAGTCACACTTTCCGGCTTTATGTTCTGTACCAATCATTTGGAACTCCTTTTAGTAGGTACAAACATCTATAAAGAAATCTGTGGATCAGAGGAGCACAAGAAAAACTACAAGAACCCCACAGTTACAGTCTCTAATGCCACCCTGAGGTAAGGAGGCAGAAAGAAGCTGGGGTTGTTTGCACTGTCAGGGAGTGCGTCAGTCCCCTGCTGGGGACCCTGTGTATGCTGTGGAAACTCAGCTGCACCAGATGGAAGGCAACTTAAAGCAGCACATCTGAGTGCTCTGTGACCTTCGCTTGCCTTTAGGTTTCTACTTGAAAAGTTGGAATTAATAATTCTTAAGAATTTTTGTGGTTCTGACTCATCTTGAATTGAGAAGGACCTTGGAGATATAACTATAAGGAAGAGTTATATATTGTTAGTTCATTATTTTCCCTCCTAGTAACTTGGTGTGATAAAGGAGCCACAATCCATATTTTCTTGATGAGAACAGAAAGGTTCAGATTCATTAACTGGTTAGCCTCAGGCAGCTGTTCAGTAGTAAAATATGGATTTCAACCCAGGTCTATCTGAATCACCATATTGTGCTTTTTTTCACAGCAGGAAATGATATTTCCTTCAGTCTTAAAGATTAAGAAAAAGGACATTCTGGTGCAGCCATTAATTCTTTTATTTTCGGATATTTCTTTTTTTTTTTTTTTTTTTTTAAAGATTTATTTAAAATGGAGAGGGAGAGGGAGAGGGAGAAGAAGAGGGAAAGGGAGAGAGTTGCAATGGTCAGTGCTGAGCCAGGAGCCAGCAGCCAGGAGCCAGGAGCTTCTTCCACGTCTTCCACAAGGGTAGCAGGAGCCCAGGAACTTGGGCCATCTTACGCTGCCTTTCCCATGCCAGTAGCAGGGAGCTGGATTGGAAGTGGAGCAGCCGGGACACAAATTGGCACCCATACAGGATGCCAGCATCACAAGCAGCAGCTTTACCTGCTATGCCACAGTGCTGGCCCCAGATATTTCTTCAGTAGCTTCAGTTGCCAGAGCCTGTGCTAAGAGATAGGAACATAGTGTGGGCCCTCATATAGCTCACATTCTGGGCAGGCTTGAGGGTGTTACTGTTGATGTTTTGCCTGTGGCTAATAACAGAAATACAGAAATGGATTTTCACCTTCCTTAAACTTGCACCACTCTTTAAATTTCTGTGTTCTTTCGAGTTCATTATCTTACTGTGATCTTCACAATCACTAACAGAAAAAATGCTGCAGTTTTATCCCAATTTCCCAAATAAGGAAACTGAGCCTCAGAAAATGTTCTGTAGCAGAACTTGAGACATCCTAGACCACAACTAGGACATTTATATTACAAAGGGTAGCCTCTAAAAAGCTCATGAGAGTTTCTCAGGCATGGAAAGCCAAGACACTGTGCAAAAAATGACCTAAACAAAAGATCTCTGTGAGTGAGAGCTCGGTGGAAAGCCATCAAAGAAGGAGGTACCTGTCTCTGAAGGGAGGAGAGAACTTCCACTTTGACTATGGGCTTGTCTAAATAAGGTCAGAGTTTGTGAACTCAAGAGGCTTCCATAACCTTGGCAGCTCATGACAAGAGCCTCAGGTAATTACTGACACCATAAGTAAGAGTGTCAATTGTTAAATCAACAGCAGGATTCACTGTGCACTTACTCCCCATGTAGGATCTCTGTCCTTAATGTGTTGTAGTATGAGAATTAACGGTAAAAATAGTTTTCAAGCAGTACTCTATACTTTGTGTGTCTGTGTGGGTGCAAACTGTTGAAATCTTCACTTAGTATATACTAAGTTGATCTTCTGTATATAAAGATAATTGAAAATGAATCTTGATGAAGAATGGGATGGGAGAGGGAGTGGGAGATGGGATGGTTGCGGGTGGGAGGGAGGTTATGGGGGGAAAAGCCACTATAATCCAAAAGTTGTACTTTTGAAATTTATTTTTATTAAATAAAAGTTTTCTAAAAAATAGTAACCTCTTGCAGTCACTAAAAATGTAATTACTGTTGAATTTGGCCAAGAATTCTTTTGTTTAGTTGCTTCTGTGTGGTGCCAGTTAGCTTCAATAGCAGCTTTCATCTTTCTTCAGCTTTTCATAGGCTCAGGAAGATCTGTCCAGAATATCCATGACCTGAAGCCCAGTTTGGCTCCTTCCAGGCAGCAAAAAGAGTTTGTGGGCTGGTGCCTCATAGCTCAGGCAATGGTAATGGACCCAGCTCTCACAACCTGTCAGCAAGGCCATGCAGTTTTAGATAGGACATACTCGGCTCAGCTGTACCTACACACATGCTGTGTCAGAAATGGTCTCAGTTTTTAGGACCACAATTTCTGGGTCTCTGTTTAACCCACAGCCCTTCTCTATTGGCTGGGCAGCATGTTTTTTAAGATTTTATTTATTTGAGAGGCAGGGTTGCAGACAGAGAGGGAGAGACAGAGAGAAAGGTCTTCCATCCTCACTCCCAAATGGCTGCAACAGCCAGAGCTGAACCTATCTAAAACTAAGATCCAGGAGCTTCTTCTGGGTCTCCCATGCAGGTACAGGGACCCAAGCACTTGGGCCATCTTCCACTACTTTCCCATGTCATTAGTAGAGAGCTAGATTGGAAGAGGAGCAGCCAGGACTTGAACCGGTGCCCATATGAGATGCTGGTGCTTCATGTGGAGGCTTAGCCTACTATGTCACAGCACCAGCCCCATGGGCAGCATGTTTGAAGAGAGTCACAAATGAAGGTAAATGAATGCACAACAGGGTTGTATCCTAGAATCAGATTGGCTGAAATGCAATGGAGGGAAACCAGGGAGGCTTTACTAGGAGAAGAGAACACACAGGTAGGTAGGGAAGGAGGCAGCAAGAAAAAATATTGACTTGTTGTTCATTTGTCAAGTGTCTGCCTTCATGGAAGGTACACTGAACAATGACCACCATGTTTTTGAGGGATTTTCTTGGAGACGTGGATCTGACAGCTGTTATTCACATTTTGGAGATAAGAAAACTCAGGCACAAGTAAAGAACTTGCTTAAGATCTTGTCATCAGCGAGTGGCAGCTGGAGGCTGACTTTGTGCCTTCAGGCTGCAGTATCTGTGTGCTTATGGGGTCCATGTGTTGCCTTTCTAGAGTCTAAGTGAGTGGCTGCTGTGTGTGAAGTACTTGCACAAGCACTGTGCATTTCATCCTCCCAACAGCTCTGCAAGGACTGTGTCATTCCTGCCATCTTATGTGGAAGGGCTCTGTGGCTTGGGGAGATGAAGAGATTTGCTCAGCATGTTGATGTCCTGAGCCCAGCACAGGACCAAGGCTGCAGGATCTTTGTGCTGTGCTTCACAAAGTCTCTGCAGGAAACAAGTACTACTTTTATAAGGATTAAAACAGTATCAAAGCAGAGAAAATGGTTTTTCCTCCTCTGTAGATACTTCAGCTGTGAGGGCAGCCTGATTTACAAGGAGGCAACCAGGATACGGTCATCATGTCAATGGGGGAGACATGTGCTCTTCCATTTTCTTTGCTAACAACTTCATCCTTGTGAATTATGCACTGTAGAGAGCTCCACAGTGAAGTCTCCAGGGCCATCAAGTGCCCTCCTGGCCTTTCTGGGCAGACAAGACGCACTCACGATACCTTTCCTGTGCGTCCAGAGGGGTGTGGGGTGTGTGATTCTCAGTGACGACACATCTTCTTCTCCATGATCTGTGCTTCCTAGGGCAGGCCGCCCTGTCTTGAAAAAAATATCAGCTAGAGAAATGACTCACTTTTTATCTCTATCTGCAAGTTGATAATTGTCCCCAAAGATTGAGGAGGGGGTGTATAGGTAGGGACCTAGATTCTGTGACTTTTAGAACTGGAGAAGGCAAAAAGCCATTTGGGTAGCTCCCTTACTTTATGAGGGGTAAAAACTGAGGAACTGGAAAGGGCATGACTTGCTCATCTGTTGAGTAGTGTCACCAGCATGTTCTTTCTGCTACCTACACAACTCTTAGCTCTCCTACTCCTATACCTTTTAAGAGAGAATGACACAGCTGCTAGAAAGGAATGTAACTTGGTCAAGGCCAGGATGTGGATGGCACAGCAAACCAGAAGCCAGATTTTCTAGCTCCCAGTTGTAGCATCTGTGTATTGGCTGGGTGAGGACAAGTCATGTTTGTATTGTCTTATTGTCATCCTGTTTAGAAGAAGTATGCACTCTTCACACAGCTGTAGGAAGCACACAGGAAGCAATGATGCATGAGGGAGGGAGGGATTGTAAGTTTTTTTTTTTTTCAAAGATTCGTTTATTTATTTGAAAGAGTTTCACAGAGAGAGGGAAACAGAACACTGGTTCACTCCTCAGATATACACAATGTCTGGGACAGGGCCAGGATGAAGCCAGGAGCCAGGAGCTGCATCCAGGTCTCCCATGTGGGTACAGGGGCCCAAACACTTGGGCTGCCTTCCCGTGCTTTCGAAGGCCACAAGCAGGGAGCTGAATCAGAAGTGGAATAACTGGTACTTGAACTGGCTGTTGTCACAGGCAGTGGCTTTATCTCCTATGCCACAATGCTGGCCCCTGTAGTCTTCTTAAAGTTGACACAGAGTTCTTAGGGACAGAGCCACCCATGGTGGTGAAACATAGTGCCAAACCCTCTGATAGAGCAGGGTCCCTAAGATTCTCTCTCGTCCCAAAGAAGGGAAGGGAGCCATCTGAGTAAAAGAAGAGGGGGAACTTAGGGCACTAAGTTGGGCACCTAGAGGATGTCTTGCCTTGGAGACAAGGACCTGTGTACAAGGACCTGTCTACCTGAAGGAGAGAGACCACAGGAATCACAAGTGAGTGGGAGGGAAGAGAGGTAGGAAGTCAGCGAAGGTGCTTTACTGAGGCAGCTTCACTGTGAGCAGCTGGGACTCAGCCCCAAAGGGACCAGGAAGTATATGGAAGATAGTTGAGAATTGCCCCATCTGGAATCAGGGAAACTGGACTATTTTTCCCAAAGTCTTGTCCCCTAGTGGTGAAGAACTTCTCTGAGTGGCACTTCTGGGCTGCCCCATGTACATAGAGCAAGTTTAACATCCTAGAGAAAGCCCATGGGTGGAGAAGTAGAAGGGGGCAGTAGATAGCTACACTGTTCTGGAGATTATGTGTTGTAGCTTCTGTTGAACTC